ATAAAAATAAGAGGAAAAGAAAAAAAAGTTTAAAAAAAAAAAAAAAAAGGGAAAAAAAAAATAAACCCAAATAAATAAAAATAAGAGGAAAAGAAAAAAAAGTTTAAAAAAAAAAAAAAAAAAAAAAAAAAAGAGGTGGGGGGAGAAGATTCTTGAGTGCTTGGCAGCCAGTAGCAATCCATGCAAGTTCATTCACTTTGAACAAGTAGCAGAGATCTCATTCATTCAAATGAACATGTATGAGTTCAATTCATGTCCAGTGAAAAAACCCTGTATTTTAGTATTACTGAACAGTGTCTCTTTGAGCATCTCATTCCATGCTGGGAGGTCTGAAGAGACATCTTTCTGCACAATACTTCAGCTGCTTAGAACTATGATACTGCTTTATCATTTAGTTAGAAGAAAGGAAAGAAAGTGAGTTCAGCCATCAGGCAACTTTCACATTTGCTAATGAGACCTAATTTAAAAAATGTCACTCTTCCATAAGTTACTGGTCTTTTTCCTAGTTGTTTCCACTTTCTCTAAAATTGTAAAATTACTGCTTTGAAAGGAAGAAAAACAGCTTATGGAAGACATATTTAAATAATCAAAGCAGAAGGCCAAGATATTTTATCTCAGGATCATTTGCACCCGATTGAATATGTTTTGAGTTCAATTCAATATCCTAATATATAAATAATGTAGATGGTTGCAATTTATTTTATTTGGCATTCTGGCTGGGTGGTTGCTTTCTTCTTTTGTTTTTCAAATTTTCTCTTTTTCTCAAATTAGTTCCTCTTTTATATCAAGAGACTTGGCCCAACTGTTTTAAAAAGGAATTCCTCATCAAATCCTTGTCACATGCAAGACTACATAGTTTATAGCATGTGTTTTCACATGTGTGGAAGTCCTGTGTTTCTCAGTATGAGGCTAGAACAATCAGAAGCTCTTTTTTTAAAAAAAAAAAAAAGCAAGACAGAAGGGACCAGTCAGCTGTAGAAGCATTGAATTAGGCAGAGATTAGGTGCTAGCAAGGATTGAGTGACAAGAATTTGACATATCCACTCCCTCTGACTTTTAAAAAACTTGTTTTGTTTTGTTTGTTGAAATATTATAATTATCAAGAATATTTTACCACCTTTCCCTAACCTGTTCTGTCTGGACAGCAAGAAATTGAAGAAGGTTTTATCTTGTTAAAACTGACTGATTACATTATGCATCACTGCATTATAGGTGTCTCTATTACAATGATACCATACCAGTTCATATATACAAAAATGATCAGTATCATGAAGCCATGTTGAAAGCTACAATTAATTTATGACCAATAATTTTGCTGTATTTTGCTTATTCAGCTGCTTTATTTTAAGAGGGACAAGGCTGCCACCTGCTGCACAAACCCATCTACTGCCTCTATTTTATTAAACCACTGCCAATGGACAGTGCTAACCCATGGTGAAGAGAATAATTGTTTACTGAATTAATCCAATTGCTTGAACTGTAACCTGACCATACTGGCTGAGTTTGTAAAACACTCTAAGCCACAGACTAGCCAACGTTTTATCCCAACATGTGGCATGAATCCAGCCAATGTCTTAAGCCACAGGTGACTGATTGGGCAGGCCAGGGATCTCCAAACTGCCAAGGAAATGGCAGATGATGGGAGTGAAGTCAAACCAGTTCAGTGCATGCTAAGACACCTGATGCTCAAGGGCAGCTGGCTAATCAAATGTTACTGTCAGGCCCAGCCCAAGAACAATGGTGAAACAGTCCAGTTAAGTTCCTTTATTTGCTTACACCTTATAGACAGAATCTTGCCAGACTAAATCGGTCCTACTGTAACAGGATATGCCCTGGGAGATTCTAGGAAGTGGCTATCCTAGACTTCTTTCACTTCCCACGCTCCTCCTGTGGAGTGTGTTGTCTTTTGTTTCCTTTCTCTTCCTGGAATGCACCCCTTCCTTCTTCGTAGATACATTCCATCACATCTACGTTCCAGTTGTTGCTGCCCTACAATTCCTAGTATTCCTAGGAACCATAATCAATAGAGAGGATTACTGGGAGTTTAGTTCAGCAATATCTGGTGTGCCACAGGCTGCCTAGGTTTGTTGCACGTAGCTATAGATAAGTTATTATTAATCACCAATTTTATTATTACGTATATCAATAAGTAATCTATACTGAGCAACTGTTGAGATCTAAGTGTTCTTATTTCAGTAGATACACAACCCATTAAAACAGGATTAGTAACTTGCAGCTCATGAAGCCTTCTCTGACCATGATTGCTGAAAATTGGGGACATGGTTTTCTGCTATTATGAGGGAAACTTAACATACATACAGAATATTGATAGGCCTCCAAACTCTTCCATAAAATCCAGGAAAACAAGCAAAGAATCTTGATACAATGTACTGTGACCCCCATGATAACCCCAAATGCAGCCATCAGCAAACAAAGGTTACCTGCTCCTAAATTAAAATGTCTCTATTCTTATCCTGAAGATCTTGCCACTAGGGAACACTGCCTCCTGCCTTCTTCTCCTGAATGTTTTTTTATTTGCAAATATCAAACTTTGTTTTAATTACAGCAAGGTAAAATGTCTTAATTTTGATTATTTCATAACATTCCTATTATATAATGTTTTAACTAGTATTGCAACTACTACACAACCATAAGAATAATTAAAAACTAACCAACCACAAATGTTATCTGGTTATACATTAATGTCTGCCATGGAAGAAAGATCTTGAAGTGCAACCTGTGGAAAAAACTAACTAACCTGCTGGCTTTGTCCCAGCATTTCTGAATATGATCATACAGTATATGAGACAACATGTCCACACACTTCCCAGCATACAGTAATCTGAACCAAATTAGGGGCAGATTATGAAACAAATATGAATGAATCCTCCCATATTATCAGAGATTACCAGCGTGTTGGTAACAACAGAACTGGTTTTTGCATTTTGTATGGTGAATATGAGGATAACAAACATCAAAAAGTAAGAGAAGAAACTAGGGTTTGAAAATCAAGAGTTTCTGGAGTAAAGTGATATTCAAATGTTTGCTTGAATGGTTACTGATCAACTGAATAAATAAATAAATGTCTAACTGAAAGATGAGAGCAATTATTTCAGAGGTTCAAAAATATTAGAATTAAAGCTGTGCCCTATAGCAAAACACTGTGTAAGAGAAATATGTATCAGTTTCCAATTAACTGTCTCCCTAAGCAGTTATACTGATCAAATAAATGGGTAAGTGATGGACATGTAAATGATTGAACACAGCTAATTTCATTCATCTGGAGGTTATCACATGACTCCTATAAGCACTTAATGTGTCATTTCAGGCTTCAGTGCAAAACATAAATACAGTTAACAGGCTCTGACAAGGAAGCTTTGTGCTTACAATATGCCTGATCTGATTAGCAGCTGAACATTGGAATAACAACCTCAAAGTGTTGCACCACAACAGCAACAATATGTGTTCAGCACTTTTAATTCCTGTATCTCACAAATTTATGAATATTACGAATGCTTCCTCTAGATCCATGTTTCTCACCTTTGGCAGCTTGAAGGTGTGTGGATTTCAATTCCCAGAATTCCCCAGCCAGCTGGCTGGGGAATTCTGGGAGTTGAAGTCCACACAAGTTCAAGTTGCCAAGGTTGAGAAACATGGATCTAGATCAATCCAAGTTCCATAGCATCAAAAGTTCCATTTCCAGCCCAGCATCATGGCTAATAGCAATAGATACTTTGTCTACATAAAGGTGTCTATTCCTTTTATAAAGCTGTCTTTAAAAAGGGTTTCTCCTATCTTTGGGGAATGGTGGGCACGTTCATCCTTTCATGCATTGGAATTTTGTGAGCGGGTTACAGGCTTTTCACCAAATGGGTACCATGGTAGGTTGCTCACTCACAAAATGGCTGCCATAATAAACGGGACAGTGACGAAGGCAAGCTAACAAGGTTGCTGTCTGTTGCTGCCTCTAGGATCCCTCAATTTTATCTTTTTGTGTTTTGGACAGGTAATCATGCTTCCCTACATAAAACGTGGGGTGGCAGCCAACTTCCTTCCCCCCCCCCCCCCCAACGTCTTAGGCCTGTATTTTTCACTCTTGGAAACAAAATGATACTGGAAATTGGTGCTTTGCAGCATGTCAGGCCTGTTTTAGGCTTTGATTAATGAAGACCAAGTGTCCATATTTAAAATGCTGCAGTTTCATACTTCAAATCAAGTTCAAATGACTAAATATGAAGCACCCTTATATATGCCATGGAAACTGCCCGTCTGCCTCAGCCCAATTTACTTTATAGGGTTGTGTCTGTGGGGAAAATAAGAGGAGGGGGTGCTAGGCATGCCGACTTCCTTCCTTCTATGAAATAAAAAAAACTGAACATTGGGCAGTGTTTCCCTTCATTAAGTAATTGGTCCACATATATTCTTGGAGCATGACATAAATAGAATAAATTCCGACATTCCAAGACTATTTAGTATTGTTCAGATACCCAGATCTGCCCTATAAACTTCACTCTAATTAAATTGCAGCTTCTTTGGTCTGTTGAGGTTGCTATAAGAACAGTCCTGAGAAACAATGTTTTCTATCTATAAAGAGGCATGAAACTGCTGGAACCCTCAGAATTACAGTACCTTTAGGGCTTTTCCTTTGTTGCAGCAAATAAAGTTACAGAATTTAATTGTGCATCCTTTGAGATACAGGCCTATATGCCACCAGCATGTATTAGAATGGTTACGCTCAAAACATTTCTTACACCCACATTCCTTTGGAGAACGAAAGAAAATGCAGGCATTCTGCTAACAAATGTTTTGTCCGTGGCCATCAGCCAGAACAAAACATGTATGATAGTCCCACATTCACAAATAAAGGTTTGACCCAAACTTTACTGAAATGTGGGGTAAGAATAATTTTTCCCTTTTTTTCTGGAGTATTTGCTTAAATGGCAAAGTCAATTCACCCAATCTCCATTACACAATTCTAAAGGCCACAACAGAGAAGGAGTAACAGTCTTTAATATTTTCAACATAGCTTTCATTTTACATCTTACTGAAGGTAAGGCTGTTCTCACAACAAATTGGAGCCCTTCCCTGGAGTTATTAATTCTGGCTTAATGCCCATTAGATAATTACACTACATCAGTAAATGTGTGATAGGGATTCATTCAATAGGCCTTAACCTTGCAGAGCATATTCTTAAAATGAAAAAAAAGTCTAACCCTCTACCCATATTAAACATAATCACTATGTGCAAAACTACTGAAAAAGCTATTACAGTTTTACACCTTGATTACTGCCCTGGTTATTTGATACTTTTTAAACTCAGGTTCCCCTCCATCCAATTTCTTCTTGCAGTGCCCTAAATGTCGTACCCTTTACCACTTAATTGTACATGGGTGATTTTTCATAGCATGAAATTTTCAGGAATACAGATTTGTTAACTTTGTAAAACTGTTCTCCATTTCATTTCAGTTGATCACTGATGATCACATACAGACATAATGAAACTGAACCAGCTTATGTATCTTCCCTCAAATTAACATCACTGTTTGCAATTCAAAGGATGTGTGTATGAAAGGATGTGGGTGCATGTTAAACACAGCTTGTTCTGCAGTTAGTCACAGCACTTTCCATTTCTAATCAAGAATAGAGTTTTATTTTTAAAGCAGATTTGGCTTCAGTGATGCCAGGAAGCTGTGGCAAAACTGCAGCAAAATTCAGAAATAGTGGCAGGGTTACCTTTTTGGGACAACTGCCATTATATTATTTGAAATTACTCAGGTTTCACTTACTGAAAATCAAAATTTTACACTTAAAGTAGCATTTAATATTGCCAAAAGTATATGTACAATAGAAATGCTATCATTAAAAGTGTGGATCCCATGCTGAATTAGAGTTTCCAAGGACTTTAAGCTGGATCTTTTTGATCTGAACTACTGACTGCAGCTTTTATAGCATTTCCTTATCATCTGAGAGGGATTTCTGCAGGATTGCTTTGTTTCCCACACAATTTCTGCTACTCTAGGAACAAGGGGAAATAGTCTAATATTAGGGATGTATAAAATGTTCCATGCATGGAATAGCTGGCTTTAGGTGGCCGATGCCCAAGCTGATATGCGTGTTTTGGTATGATGGACTGTGAATAGCAGATTGGAATTGTTTTCTCTCAGGCAGAAATGATTTGGGGGGAAGCAGGAAACATGATAAGAACAGACTCCTGGAGGGAAGGCAAGCCCTGGGCAAATCAGCAAGAAAGGTGGGCCAGGGCTGTATGCCACTCTGGAATGTCAACAGTGGCAAAGAAGAGAGAGGGAAGGTGCTACGAGAATGGGGGCAAGAGGCACTAGTATACGCCCTACTGGGACACTGGCAGTGGCTGAAGTAATAAGCACTGGGAAAAGGGTGTGTGTGGTGTGTGTATGGACAGTACGTGGTGCATATCACCCCTCTTTCCCTTCCTCCCCCTCAGCTGTTCCCAGTATGGTGAGATACGCCATACTGGCAACAGACAAGGGAGAGCAAGGGAAAGAGGGGTGATACCAGACACCTAGCCCTACTTGGCCCATTTGGATTCTGTTTCATCTGAAACCCAGAATAACCAAAGCATTCTGGGTTTGGGTTCTGCTAAACTCTGGCTGATCTGGAACAGCTCAACAGAACATTTGGAATACAATGGATTGTTCAAAGCATTTTTCCTGTTTCCTGCACACCCCTAACTAATATGGAGAAATCAACAGACTATCTCATAATTTATATTCCTAAAAAGGGTTAGAAGTTTTTTTTTCTTGAGCACCTAATTACATATAACATTATTTATTAACATAAACAGATTATGTCACCATATGACCTCTTGAAATCTAAACTGCCAGCATCAGACCTTCAAAAGGAAGATGTTATTTGAGCTTTCTAACCACAATATTTGCTTTAATTCTTTTCCTTTTTTAATACTGTTATATTTGTAGAACATAATTAACTAATGAGAGTTTTACTGGATTTAATAACCATCAGGAGTAGAAGCCTGCTTGTATGTGTGTATGCATGTATATACAATCTTTATATGAAAAGCACTGAGGCATTACATTTCACACCACTGAGGTAGTACTTTCAGGATTAATACGCATTAGTCGTGAAACATTCCTCAGATCCTGCAACTGCTTAGCAGGCTTTCCAACACCTTCCTCAAATCTTTTTTCCACAACAGGAAGAACAGTTTCGTAGAGGAAAGATGCATTTTGCCTGATGAATGCTTTTTTCTCAGGGTCCTGTTCACACCGTAAACTGTAATCAACATGTTGGATGGCCACAAGGATTATCTCCATCAGACTTTCTAGCAGAACCATATGCAGCTCTGGGAAATACAACTTGAGGGCTTCCTCCAAGAAAGCCATGGTCTGTTTTGTGAAAGCCACAACGGTGTAGCTAAGATTCACCCAGCAGTCATCTCCAGTGTACTGATCAAAATTGGTCACACCACAGCTCCTCATTTCCTCTCTAAGCTTTCCTAAGGCTTCTGGTGTCATCAGGTTCATTCTCCTCCACATCTCTTCGGAGTTGCGATGTTTTGTGGCCTCAATTATGATGTCTTTGTAGCTCTGCAAAGCTCCTTTGATGTCTCTTACTAGTAAGGCATGAATGATGAAGGTCAGATCCAGACCAATATCGCTGAGTTGCTTACAATGTTCCTTGGCCACCTTCAACAACAAATGACATTATTATTAATTTAATTAAACCTTAAGAAGTTGCACAATACAAAGAGATGGTAAAATAATCTTATTAGAATCATTAGGGAAAACTAAAACATAACTTAAACAAGACTATTTCAAAACCAATCTCTGCATAGCCTGTGTGGATCATTAATATATAATTAATATAGAAAAGGAGTGGGCAACTTTTTAATAGTTGATAGACTCATTTCCTGGGAGAATTTGTTGCTGAATGTCAATGGGGGAAAGAGCAAGTGGAGCCAGAGCTAAAAATTGTCTTTTTCTGAAGTTGCTTTTTCTCTCCGATATCACCTTTTAAAATTCTTTCTCTTTCTGACATTCAAAGGGAATGAATGCCTTTATCAGTGGTCTAAACTGATTATTTGCAAAGAGATTTTGAAATTAAAGTGTTGACTGCTTGTGATCATACAGACATAGATTGCCCATCTTTACTCTAGCTGTTTAAGCAATTTTCTTATGTTCTTTTGCTTGTTTTTAAAAGAATATTTGATAATGATCCTTCAACCATATTTTACATGAGGCTTGCATTTTGTCACTCATCTTCTTGACTGAGATATGTAGCAGTGATCCCCAAGAAAACAACTAAAAAACTTTTATCTCCCTCATGAGGATACAGCATGATGATGCTATAATCTATACCATAGATTATAGGCTGAAAGATGAAGGGGAGGATGGAAGGAAAGTTATGAATGCTGATATATATTTCTAATTTACAAGGCTGTTCTTTTTTTCCAGATCCTTATTCAACACAGGGCGCAAGCACCTCAAAATTTGCAAATGGCTCAAAAGAGATTTTGTGCCACTCAAAAAATATGATCAGAGACTACCTCATGATTAAAGACTGCTTTTTAAGATACATTACTACTTATAAACTTAAGTTTCTTATTCAACCTGCTCATGAACATGTGACAGTGAAAGAACTGGAATCTATGAATAGTATAAGCCTCATTCTTGGCTCTTATTGCCCCACCTAACATTAAGGACTATGCAGACCTTAATCCAAGTAACATTACTTGTGCTAAAAGTAAAAGTAACAAAACAAGTCTGCTGTAACTATCTTAATTGAAAACATACAACTGAAACTAACTTGCTTCATTTGTTTAAAAGAAACTTATTCTCCAGTAATTTAAATTGAAATATGACCCTAATGTTTATGCCAGTACTGAAATAAAATCAGCTAGAAAGACCAGTTTCGTTTCCATTACTGCCACCATTCAGGTCAACTAAAAAGAGTAGTCTGTATTCCATTATCTCTTCAGAGATAAAAGAGATAAATCAAAACTGACAGCAGATGGTATGTGCTTATATCTTCTTTTGGACAGTAAAGAAACAGCATCAGATTATATGGAGGCTCATCCTTTGTTCTATAAAGCAAAATATGCTTTTTCAGGTAAGACAGGATCTGTGGTAAGATCCAGTTGCATTATGAAGGCAGGGCATAGGACTAAACCTCTCTCTTCCAAATTTTAGAGGGTGAGTCTGTTTTCCACTAGCAGAACTGGAAATGCAAATGTTGCTGTCTTCCAGCCCCTTTGCCAATTGGCCAAAGGCATTTTGTTCTGTGTAACAAGATGCTGCATGTGCATTTCTGCTCTCCCTTTGTGTTGCATTTATGTGTATATCTGCACTAGGAAGCACCAGCATATACTCCACACTGGTCATATGACAAGGAGGGAGAAGGACTTAGAATTCAGCAGCCACTACATTCCAAACCACTGCCCAAATACCTCTCCCACAGGGGGCACTGACAAACTTTGTCAGGGTTTTACTCCATTCTCCCTCTACTTACCTTTACACACTCAGCAGCAGTAGATAAACTCTCCTTACTATCAAACACCTGCTTGCTAAATGCATCTACAAACATCCGCATGGTAGACCGGGCCCAGACAACAAAAGCTGAATAGCACCCACTATTTCCAGCAAAGTCTGTCTCAAACTCTCTTGCAGTCTCCAACAGGCTGGTAAAGAAGACATGACAAAGCTTGTGAATGTACAGCAAAGTGGCACCTTCAATGCGCAACTGTCGGATGGCTGTGTGAACAGCAGCTTCCCTATTCTTCAAGAAAAGTTCACATGCCTTAGTTGACTGGCCCAAGCGAATGAGCTGGGAAACAGCTCGGCGGGTAGCTCTGGGCCCTCCCCGGAGAGATCTATCTGGAGACAACTCAAACACAAGGACCTCAGTGAGCTGTCGGACTCTTTCATCCACCTTTGCTCGCAGCTCTCTAACCATCTGGGTCACAGGTTTGTCGCCCAGATATTCCTTCAGCTTATCTAGCAAATCAACTGCCCCTTCAAAGTCTCTCTGAGCAATGCAGACATCCAGGTCTTCTGGCAGTTCCTGAATCCATTCTAGAGACAGATCCACCATTTCTTCTTCTGGTGTTGCCTCCACTTCCTCCTCCTCCTCCTCCTCTTCAAAAGGATTAGTAGTCTCAGCAGGTACTGGAGGAGCCCGTGTTGGGACCTCCTGTTCCAGCCTTCGTTTCTCACTGAGAACCCGATTCCTTTTTGCCTCTTCCAGCACTTCCAACCACTCTTTCTTGATCTTGGCATTCTCAGCTTGGAAGATGCGACTCTCGGGGAACATAAGCAACTTGAACATATCCTTCATGGGGGGGTTGTCCTTGACATTAACCACAGCCAGCCCATCAAGCGGGTAGAGGGCATCATAACGGTACATGCCCCGCCGGTTGGGCAACCATGCTGCCACCAGCAAGCAGTCATTCATAAGGAAAGCATGCACTTTCTGGATCTGCACCATGTGGTCAGCATCATACTCCACAAGGTCCCCATTGTACACTAAGTACTTGCCAGGACTCTCTGGAAGCAGGTCTTGGCAACCCTCCACTTTCTCCAAGAGGGTGGTGAGAGTTCGCTGCCGGCCCTCCTCGTTGGCCGAGGCGTCCTTGCCCGAGAGAGGCAGGAAAGGGTTCGTGGGGGGGTGGGGGGCGGCGGCGCCAGCTCGCCGGGCGCCCGCGACAGCCGGGTCCTCCCGCTCGCCGACGTTGGCCTGCAGCAGCAGGGCCTGGGTGACGGTTTCCATGATGCCCTTCTGCTCCGTGAGGATGTGGCTGAGCTGGTACATCTCGCTCTCCAGGTAGCTGATCTCGCGGGCCGTCTCGATGAACTGCCGGTAGTTCTGGTAGACATTGCGCTTGAGGCTCTGCGCCGTCTCCTCGCTCAGCGCCTGAATGCGCTGCCGGTGCTCCTGCAGGTCGCGGTCCCCATCCGACTGCTGGGACAGCTGCTTCACGTACTCCTCCGCCGCGTAACTCCCGGACTCCAGCTGCCGCCGCAAGCGGCTAGCACCACTGCTGGCAGTCACCTCGCCCAGAGACACCGCCATTTCCGAATCGGAGCAGCGAGAAACCGAAGACCAGAGAGGAAGGCCAACGTACGATATACTCTGGACGGCGCCTGCGCCGGAAAAGAAGACACTCCCGAGGATCTTCAGAAGGCGGAGACGTCTGCGGGAAACATGAAACGTCATGGAACGGCGACACGTCGCTCTCCCTGCCGCATTTACCATAGATGTATTGTATAGACTGGCCATCACTTCCGGATATTTGGAGAGATGCGCAAGCGCATTATAGTATCAGAGAGTAATGAAAAAGAAGGCTCAGACAAGCTTTGAAAGACATGAAGCTTAGCGCATGCGTCAGTTTGAAAAGCCACTCCTAGACGGTGGGTTACGGTTGTTGATAGCTCGGGGGTGGCGTCTTCGAGGCACGATGGACAAGGACTTCTTGCTTGCCCTGCGATTGCAGGCGGAATGGGAAGCGGAGGACGAGGAGGTGCGGGTTCAGACGACCTCCTCCGATCCTCCGCGGTCGCTCTCGCTGATGGACGATGCCTGGGAGCTGCTGGATCCGAACCCCGACATACGAGGCCTCTTCCTGCAGTTCAACGAGACCCTCTTCTGGGGGCGCCTGGCGGCGGTGGAAGTGAAATGGAGCCCGCGCATGACGCTGTACGCCGAAGGATGCGCCGGGGAGAGGGGACAGGGGCATCCCTAAACCGGCGCCCTCCAGGTGTGATGGGACTACCACTCCCAGAATTCCCTGCTGCTGGCAGTCCTGGGAGTCGTAGTGCAGAGAGCACCGGGGAGGGAAGGCTGCTCCGCGGGCTCAGGAGCCAACAAAGGTGCCCTTAGTTAGAGCTGCTCCGATAGCCGTTTTTTTAAAGGAAGAGCACATCCATTCATTAAAAATTTGTAAAATGTAGTCTGAGGATGGTTTGAAAGCTTAAGTTACAACCGTGATATTTCCTGCTGGTTGTCAGCCAGGTACAAAGCAGCTCTGATTCTGGTGAGCTTTCCTAGTCAGCCAAGGTTGGATTGCCTGACTGCAAGCAGGCACATTTTTTACCTGACAGCTAAGCAGGGCAGGCATAAAAAATCAGACACAAATACTGGTCTAGATCAATGATATCAGGGAGAATTTTGTACTTGAATCTTGGATTTTGATGTACCAAACCAATAGGATGAGGTGGCAGAATGAACAATGCTAATTCAGAATGGAAAGTGTGCTGCTTTGAACACTTTTCTACTTTTCTTTCTTTAAAAACTATCCTCTTACTAGAAAACTAGTAGATCAGAATGGATGACTGTTACAGTCTTGTTCTGCTTTGCTAGATTTCTGCTGTCAGGAAACAAAAATGCATTGCTTGTGCTTTGCCTTCTAGGTGTGCTGGACTTTGCTGCTATGAAGGTTATGGTGGGATGTGCTCCATCCGACTCAGTGAGCCACTTTTAAAGCTACGGCCAAGGAAGGATCTTGTGGAGGTATTGCAAGATGGAATTCTTTCTACAAAGATAGAATGCAGTGTGTAAATCTCTTGCAGCCTAACATGGTTGAATGCACACATACACTGTGGAATACATTTTGTCAGTAACAAATCAGATCTTGAAATATGCTTAATAATTTTAGGATGATAGTAAGGCATGTAAATGTAACAAGTGATCATATGAATAGCCAGATCTTTATCTATGAACAGAGCATCTTCATTATAATGCCTTAGTGCTCTGTATGGTTGCAGAAGTTCAGAACCATATATGTATAATGAAGGATTTTTTTCCTAGGAATTAGCTCCCACCTTCCATCCCAGCAGGAAGAAGTGTATTTGCTGCAAATAAAGATAATATTCTAATTCTACAAAGATAGAAGAAGGTATAAGCATTGAAAACATAGCTCCTATGTAGTCCTATGTGCCTTATTTCGGAACTATAGTAGTGATTTACTTTCTTTTATAATGGGGTGAGAAATGTCATGTATGGAAAACAGACAAATCCAAGGTGTACTTCCCAGTCTCTTTCATCCTCATTAAAACCTATGAGTTATTTTGATCAAGGGCTTCTCTTAGTTATTTGGATTCCACTCAAGGAGATACGAAATTCTGTTATTGTGTGTTATTTTCTATTATAAGGATGGGAACCTTCTGGCCCATAGCCAGAGTTGGCCAAGGCATCCCCATTCAGCCTGCCTTGGTTTTCATGGGATCTATTCTCTCCCTCCATGATTGTTTGTGAGACAGAAGCAAGTGGCCCTGCTTAGTCCTCTTGCTTAGCCCACTGATGGGACAAAAAGGTTCCATAGGTCTGTTCCATATGCCTGGTAACCACAAACAGTTCTACAGAGCTGTGGAATAAATGCGGAAAAAGTAAAGACGGTTTTATGAATTCCCATTGTAAATTAAGTGCATTTGTACAAACCTGAATTGTAAGCACTAAATTTCAGAATTCACCTCATATTTTTCTTACTGTATAGGAGATAAACAGAGAAGTTCCAAAACATGGGTGTGCAATTGTCTTAAGTTACAAAATGGATACTTTGTGTAATCTATTAATTCATTTCAGACTCTCTTGCATGAAATGATTCATGCCCTGTTATTTGTCACTAATAATGACAAAGATCGTGAGTCCCATGGCCCAGAGTTCTGCAAACACATGCATCGGATAAATCGCTTAACAGGAGCCAATATTACGGTAAAGGCTTTTTGTGATACATAAACTTATTTTTATTCTTCAAGCACAGGATAAGAGACTGCATGATGTGATGGCAAGCCAGGTCATGGTGTGATAGTACACTTTAGCAGAGTTGATATTTTCTGTGAATCCTCAGACTTCTGTTATTAGCAGATGTAGTTCTATCTTCTGGGTTGAGGGCAACTCATTGAACTGAGAAAATCCCTGTGGATATTCCTTACTCTGATCTGTTATGATCAGAGAGTGCGCTCTGAGTTACTACAAATCAGTCAGGGTCTACCCAAAGGAAAGAATAGAAAGAAATAAGTGAAAGTGGAACAACTGCAGGGAAAAAGTATGAGTTCTATATAAAAAAGTGTTAGAAAATAGATTAATCTCTTGAATAGAATGAATGGAAAATGGATTTAAGGTAGTTGAGAGAATGATACTATATAATATGTACACGGAGGAAAAAAGTTATAAACAGTGTAGTCAAAGAGAGCAAGGAATAGTTGAGATTAAAAGAGGCAGAGAAAATGCAGAGCTATTTTAGTGGAATAAGTTTGGTTTTGGAAGTGAGTAAAGAGGGCTAAATAATGAACTTCCAGTAGAGTGACTTGAATTAACATAAAAGCAATGTTATGATTTTGGATGAAACTAAAATAAAGGAATACTGGAAGGAATATTTCACATATTTGTTAGGGTATAATAATAATATGCTTAAATGTGAAAGTTGGGATATAATAGTAATATGCTGAAGAGAGAAATTGAAACAAATGGTATAAATGTTAGTGTTCAAGAAAAAAGTGGTGAAAAGAAAGCTGAAAAATTGTAACACAGCATGTATAGATGGAGTAACTGGAAAAATCTCTAAATGTAGTTTGGTTATGGATTGGCTGTGTGACTTGTTTCAAATGAGTGTGAAGACTGATTCTGCCTGAAAATTGGAAGAATGTCATTATTATTCCCTGTACAGAAGGAAAGTTAGTTGTTGGTTGGGCATGTGAATGTAGTATGAAAATGGTACCTTTGTTGTATGAGAACCTGAATTATTTATGTGAATGTTAGATTGTATGTTGTAGCAAAGGCCGTGGAGCTGAAAATCAAAGATGAAGACATCTTTGACAGATGAAATGATTTGAACAGTTGCTAGTTATATACAGTGGGGCAAAAAAGTATTTAGTTAGCCAGCAATTGTGCAAGTTCTCCCACTTAAAAAGATGAGAGAGGCCTATAATTTTC